GGAGAGAGAGAGAGAGAGAGAGAGAGAGAGAGAGAGTGGAAGACGACGAAGAAGAGGAAGAGGCGAAGGGGAGGGGAGGGGAGGGGAGAAATGAGTCCTACTAGAGTTCTTCTCTTTCCAGGTATCTGAGCCAATAGAAAGCTCCTTGTGTATGAGCCCCTCTGCCTTAGCCACCTGACAGGTGAATGCTGCTAAACCTCTTGCAATGCTCAGCACAGGCCTCTGCAGCTATCTGCCACACATCTACTATCGAGGGCTTCAGGGTCACTTGAGAGCCACAGGGAGGCTTTGCCTCTTGCAATCAACAGAATCTTCCTAGACACAGCTTCCTGGCCTGCAAGACAGACACTCAAAGCTAAATTCACAATGCTGCCGGAAGCTGGAGTCCCGTGAAGAGGTCCAGAGACACCGAAGGCCGGAAAACATCACTCAAGACAGAGCTCACCTTTGGAGGCCTGGTTAAATTCCAGCACCAGGAGGCCGTCTGGGCCCGGGGGAGGCTGTGCTTCTGGCTCCTGGTCCTCAGCACCGCTCTTCTGCCCCAAGGCCCCACCGAAAAGAGTGAGGTCACCTGTGGGGCGGCCCAGCAGCTCCTGGTCCTCAGGCTCGAGCTCAGAGACGATGTCTTCCTCAATAGAGTCAGAGTTGTCACTGGAATAGTCCTCTTGTTTCCTTGGTAGATACACACTGACTTCCAGGCTTTGTCTCAGCCCCTGCCACAGCCAAGGAGATGAAAAGTAAGATACGGTACTCTGAGAAAAAAACTCGGTTAAAAATAGATCATGTGAGCCGAAGAACTACATTCCCACCAAACTAGGACTTAATAATAACATCTCAGCCCGTGGGTTGCACAGCTTTGAAGATGAGGAGAAAAGAGCAGGAAGAAGGAGTGAGGCCACGGGAGGAACAGCGTTTACAGTGGTGACTGTGGTGTCTGCATCCTGGAGAGGCCACAAGAACTGTGTGTGTGTGTGTGTGTGTGTGTGTGGATGCGTGTGCGTGAGTGTGTAAGAGACGTTACAACAGGCTGCGGAGCAGAACCCCCAGGTCTTCCAATTGGCTGGGCCTGGGAGGGGCCTGCGGGTCTGCACAGCTGTGAGGCGCCTGAGGCTGCAGCTGGGGAACAAACTGTGCATGCAAACCCCAAGGACCCCGCGCAACCCAAACGTCCGGGTGTCACACGTCCACAGAGCGGCTGCGGCCGTCACCACATCACAGATGTTCAGCGCCAACGGCGACCACTGCTGGTCTTCGCACATTTGTCTCCCCGTAATGACAGGCCGGGCATCAAGATCTACAGATCCACACTTCACCGCTTGACTACAACAGCCTGATGACTTTTGCATGGCTATTTTGTCTCTATGACTAAGCATCAAGACCTGTATTTGGTGACCGGAGACATTATCACCCAAACCAGGACACCGCTAAAGGGAACAAGGGACCCTCTGACATTTACACTAAGACTAAAGATACATATTGCACTGCCTGGTCAACCAGCATTTCCGGTCAGCTTTGTTACGCTGCCCTCTGACCCTCAAAATCGAACACATTCTAATAAAATGAAAAGTAATCAATGAGGGTTTGATGATTGACCAATAAACCCAATAGTTGTGGTAGGTTGAAAATGGCTCCTCGAAGACTCCACACCCCAATCCTAGGTACCTGTGAACCACCGATGACTCAGGAAGAGTAGTTATCTCTCTGTGGAAAATTTGTACCATCCTAAAGTCCTCCTGGACAGACGAGTGATAGAAATACAGACAGTAAAGGCGCTGCTGGCAAGGGCTCAGGAAGAAAGCTGTGTAACCGGGAACTGGAGGGGGAAATGGAGTCTTGGCTGAAACGCCCCTGGCCTCACGACGCCCTTGGATATTTAGCTCCAGAGATTTCCAACTCAAGTGTGGAAGACACGGTCTGCTTTCCTCTTGCTGCTCGAGGTGGAAGGCAGGAGGAAAGACGGGCCGCGAAAGAACTGTGAAGGAAGGAGGAACTGGGACTCGCTCTGGCAAGTTCTCTGCCTATCCAGATTGCAGAGGGTGCTAAAATTAGGAGATTCGCTGTCAGGAAAGAGTGCCGAAGAGAAAGCCTAGGGTGTGGCGGGGTAACTTTCTGCTAGCACCTCAGAAAGGTCTGCAGTCCGAGAGCATTCGGTCTCAGAGTGGGCTCTGAGAGAATTAGGCGTGGGCTCCCTTAGGCCTAGCAGAAGCCGGGAATAGAGACGGAATTGTCCAGGAAAGACCCACACAGGAGCTGCCGAACTTGTACAGGAGTCCCGTATGGCTTTTGAGAATGTCAAACTAGCAAACTGTCGGTTTGGGCTGAAAGGGAGACTCAAAGGACAAAATGGAAGGAGGCCACCACACTCCTCAGTTCCCCAGGCAGGGCACAGGCGGGTGGGCTGCCCCTCCACATACAAAAAAACAAAACAAAACAAGAGACTTAGTGAAACCCTGCCTCAAAGTAAAAAATAAAAAGGGCTGGGAATGTAGCTCAGGGCAAAGGCCTTGTGTTCCATCTCTAGTATTATTATTTTTTCAGTATTATTGAAACAAAACAAAACACTAAACTCCCTTGCATTCAGTTGTGGCACCCAGCAGGGCACACATGGACATACTTTACTCAAGGCACACATATATACAATACGTGTACACACACACACACACACACACACACACATTACATACAGATCTAGATTCTGTATAGTTGGCTCCTTCCTGGCTAAGGAAAAGCACACATCATTTCTCATACAAGGCAAGCAAAGCTTGGGAATGCAGCCCGGGAGATGCTCATGCATTAGAAAGCCATCTGCTCCAAGGGCAAAGGGCTGACAGGCTAAGGAGCACCAGCCCCTGGAGAAGCCGCCAGGACCTTTCCATCTGCAAGAGGGGGACCTTGGGTTGGCCCCTTTGAAAGCCAATCTGGCCGAACTTCAAAGGGGAACCATGCTGTGGGATCTACCAGCTTTGAAGTCATCACCCAGAAATTTCTCTGTGAAAACTTACTTTATAGCTCTGCTTTAAAACCTTGTTGGATTCCATTTCAGTGTTCAGTGTTTAAAATGTGAAGTTCAAGCCCTTTCTACAGACAGCCCTCCACATGGAGCTGGGCCGTAGACGGGGAGGTGCAGAGCAGAAGACAGGGACTGCACACAAATTAGCCTCTTCACTGGAGAGCCAGAGAGGTGGCAGGGGACAAACACTGAAGACTTAAAGGTGGGTGCTGGAAGAGCAGCATCGAAACGCCTCTCATCTGCCTGATCTTCCTACTTCTGCTGGGCTAGGAAAAGGGCAAAACCAGGCAACCATCAAGCCCCACATTCTGCAGTAATGGTAACAATAGCTACATCACCAAGGACAGTAAGAAGCCAGCACCACTAAGCTGCTGTTACACCTCGGGCACCAGGATGAGCTGTCACATCCCGTACCTCTTCCCGGCCCCACAAAGCCCAGTGCAGCGGGTGCTCTCGTCCTGGCTCAGAGCACTGAAGCACAAGCTCCAGGTCTCAGGGCTGATAATGGCAGTGCCAGGGCTCGGGGGAAGCACCGGCTGCCTCCAAGGCTGGGCTCTGAATCCCACAGCCACGTGCATTCCCTGGCTGGTGCCAGCGTGGAAGCGAGTGGGCTCTGGGGAGGGATGAAGTCAGGTGTTGGGTGACTATCCACTGAGTGCCAGGGCTTGGCGACACCTGGCCAGAAGAGCTATGGATCAAAGTTCATTAAAAGTACAGAGTATGTTGAGTGTTACTGGATGAAAGAGGGAACCTCGAACTACACTTAGAAAGTCAGTGAATGACCCAAGGGCCTGGTCACTCTAGGCCCCGGCCTGGGCCTGACCCCTGCTGCTGCCCTCTGTCCCCAGATGAGCCGCTGAGCTGCCAGCCCCACCTGTAATGTGGCAAACTTCGCCCGGACGCCCTGCCAAGCTCGCTGAATGGAGACGATGGACAACAGTTATGAATTAGTGTTTCCTGACAGTTTTAGCAGGGTTTCAATTTTCGTGCAAAATTTTACATTGTAACGACAGCATAGTCATCTCCATTTTTCAGGGTCTACGGAATTTGCCAATAAGAAGCATGATGTTGGACCATCAGGACAGAACAGACGCTTTCAAGCAGGCCAAGGAGGGAGCAGCAGCCCTGGGCAGAGGTCGCCAGCCGCCCCAAGGCCCTCCCCTCTGGCAATGTTTCTCCTTCAAGCAGCAGCTGTATGAAACTGAGATTCGAATACCTTCAGGCTGGCATGCACTGCTGGTTGCAATAATTCCCACTAAATCCTATTGCCTTATATGAGGCATTTTACACACTCATATTACCCTGGCCCAAAAAGGCTTTTTATTCTGCACCAAAGGCATAGTTGATTGACTTGGTCTTCTTTTCATTCATTCATTTATTCAACAAATATTTTGTTGAAAAATATTTGTCCATGGTAATAAGCAAGTGTGGCTGCTAAGTGCTAGGGTCAGAATAAGGGCAGGTAATGTTCTCACTCTCGTAGAATTTATACTCTGTCGACAAAAAACAGACACTCCAGAAGAAAGCCCGAGTGTAATGAGAGTCAAAGCCCAAACCCAAGGCCTCGCAGGCCATACCTCACACCAGTGGCTCCTAAATCAAGGGTTGCTTAAATAGATGTCTTGTGCCCTAACTTCAGGGTGCTGTGTTTAAAAAAGAATAATCACATGCTCCTACATCCATCTCCACAGAACCGTGGCTAGGGAAATTTGAATTTTACATGTACTTCAAATATGAGGACCAGTCAAAGATACGGAGAATGTTTAAATTTGGGGGAAAACTTATTACAGTAAAAGATATTCCTACTGACCGCCCTCAAGATCCCCCTCACCTTGAGCACGCCGATCTTGGCGTCCTTGTCACTTTCTGCAGCGGCTCTGGACGCCCTTTTCCCAAGCGTCTTTAGTCGCCATGTCACGGCCAGCACAATGTCCTGAGTCAGCCCAAAACCTTTACCTTCCATGGTTATCTTGACTTTGGGGAAGAGGTAGAAGTCACGCAGTGTCAGATCCAGTGAGTGAGGCAGATGAGGACACACTGCGAGGTTTTTATTCGATAGCAACTGCCATAAATGCTTTGAATTAACTCAGGACAGGACTCAAAGCCCTCAGCACCACCATGTCTCAGTGCCCTCACCTGCGCCTGCCCAGAATCAGAGGGCTCGCCGAAAGCTCAAGAGCCAGGGACCAGAGAGAGGCCAAGGACCAAGAATGTCACCAGCTAACTAGGAACTCTGAGCAGTGCCTGAAAGACAGAACAGCGATCGCATCTAGGAAGACCCAAAGGCAGAGAGGTCTACAGACCAAAGGAGGGGCTTCCGGGTAAGATGGCAGAATAAACACAACTCAAGTGACTCTGCATGACAAGAGCTAGAGTTACAAAGGAGGTGCTATAATCCAAGGACCCAAGAGACCTGGAAACGAAGGAAGGGGTGACTGGAAAGCAAAAAGCGTGATGAGACAGAAAAGCAAGGCAGGGCAAGGTGTGAAGCAGTACGCAACGCTGACCCCAGCTGCCGAGGAGAAAGAAACCAAGGTAACCCTGAAGAGGGCTGGCAGCCCTGGCCCAAGAGAAACCAGGGTTACTGCAAGCTATAAATCGTGTGAAGACTGAGTCTGAAGGTGACTTCGGTAGTGTGGCAGGCTAGCTTTGGAGAGGAAATCCACCCAGCACTCACCATACCTCAGACTGTGCTAACCAGGA